CAACTGTAGGTGTTAAAACAGTAACGGTGAACCCTTTGAGTTTTCTGCGTGTCAAATTCGGAAAAACCCTAGCTTAATTCTGCTACCGTTCGTCATTCGTCTTCTAAGAATATACTCGGACGTAAGGTAAAAGCAGCACACGTTTACAATGACGAGGCCATTGCAAGAGACAAATTCGTTTCTATTATGCAATTTTTTGTCTGCTTTCGACGGCTCTGGAAATGCGTGATGTGTGTCACCCAAAATGGATTCACGGGTCACTTATGACAAGCGAGTCGTCATCACTGTATTAAACTGTAAATGTAAAGGAAGGAGAGAGGTATAATCAGGATATGAAAACACACAAGAATACGTTGAATGCGGTAAAAAGATACAAGAAAAAAGTGCGGGAATATATTTAAATTTTCTGAACCTCCCTAACGTATTCTCGGTGTACGTAGACTTCAGAGAGAATGGGCAGCAACGAATCACGAATCAGAGAGGAATGATTAGGGCTCTATAGTTTTGGTCGGAAAAAAAGATTTTGCATTTCTTCTTCTGACGCCTTTCTGTACTTCCTTGGAAACTACTGAGACTACAACGATTCTCATATGAGAAAAGAGAAAGGAAAAATAGGGTAAGTACTCAAAAGGTGGGGAGATGCAATGAAAAGTGTGGTTAGAATTATTGGATATGACAAAGCACAGAACGGCTAGCTATGAAGGAAAGGATGCCTTCATGGTGGATTTTCTAAGGGAAATTAGCTCTTATTCCTGTTATGCGTTGTAAAAACCTCGAAAACCAACCATGCAGCCAGCCTAACCTGGGATGGAACTCAAGTCAAACTTTCAGTATTCAGCGGTTTTTAACCATTCTGCCACAGCTGAGGCCAAAGTATGTTTAATTTGTTTCATTTGATGCCGTGACGTACATATCTCAAACTATTACCATGAAAATGATTATATTTTTAAATAGAGTTGCACCTTTAAATCTTTTTCCTGCTAATAGCATAATATATGTAAAAATGATACATTAGGTACAGCAATGGGAATTTTTAAAATTCACGCAGTTTCATTAATTTTAAATGCTAACATCTCCTAAAAGTAACTCTTCAATCCAAGATAGTTTTCTATTGTAGCTGCTGGCAAAAAGAACCTTCAGTAAACTAAAATTGGCAAAATATTATTTAAAATCTTCACTTATTGAAGAAATTGTTAAATATATTGATTTCTGTGTACAAAACATGAATTAAATATACATATGAATTTAGAAAATGTATCATAGTTTTATTTCTTTAAAAGAGAGAGAAAAACAAGTGGAAAATGAATCATAAAAACACTTGAAAATGAGTGCAGTCCTTTTTATTATATTATTAATTGTGTGTACATTATTTTTCGGAAATAATAAATTATTACTAAAGATTGCTTTAGCACTATGACTTATGAAACGTATCATGAAGTTTATTTAAGAGAAAATGTGTACATGTGTTTAATTTTGTGTTGAATGTATGGAATTATTTTAATTTTTTTTTCTTTTCCTCCCCTTCATCTTTTTTTTTTTTTTTTTTTTTTTTTTTTTTTTTGTGTGTGTGTGTGTGTGTTCCTCTGTTAATTGGCCACGCTGTCCTAAGGTAAGGTCTTATGGTAAGCCTTGGGTAGACAAGGAAAGATAAATACTTTGCATACTTATTAGTATTCTGTGTGATAGGCTGCTTGTCATTCTGAAAGCAAAAATCAAACCTGATTTATTCATTTTTTTAGAAAAATTATAATTTTGTGGGATTTGTATTCAGCGAAAAGCGCATTTTTCTCAGTTGCCTTGATGAATCCTGGAGGATATTTAATCAATAAAGATAAATAAGCGGATATCATAATCACCATTGTTGGCCTTTAAGTGGCCAAATGTCGAATAGACAAGTGCCCGCCATTAGATTAAAAAAAGTAAATATTAATTGACATTCAATAATTGATTTAATTGAATTAAAATTCACTTGCGAATCAATGAAAAGTTTAAAAAAAAAAAGATTTAAGAATGACGAATTACTCTGTCTACCCAATCTATTGCATTTTTGTCCTTAAAACGTTTAATAAGCGAAACCTTGATTGGTCCTTGAAGTTGTATCTAATTTCTCTCATTAATAATCCATAAAACCGAGAAAAGGAATAAATAGTGTCCGCGCCTCCTTGGGATTTGTATATTTTCATGCTTTTTGTCCTCGATTGAAATGCTAAGTAATCAATGCGTTTGAAATTTAGCATTACATATTTTTGAATACACCAGTTTTCTACCGTTGGAGAGATACACGCGTGCTATTAAAACAGCGTAAATCTAGCAATTTGCGTTTACCTTGGACTCATTCTCTGAACAGTGGGGTTCACTGTGGGAGGACAACATCTGTGTTACAAAGATAATATTCTGATGCTCGAAGATACGTACCTAATGACACATTTCGAAAAGGTATAATCAAGAAGGTCAACGACATTTTTAATTGCGAAAAAGGTTATCTGAAATTATTAAATAATGACTGGACTTGTATGACGGACAGTTGGTGCAAAAACATAAAGGCAGCCTTGGGCACTTCTGGTTGAATGAAATCCGCTTTATTTACTTAGCAATTGGAAAATGACATATTGTTGCAATGACATTAAATCTTAGGTAGTGAAATGTAGTACGTTTTGGTTTGTACGTTACAAATTTAAGGAGCTTTTTTCAGGGACAGAAGAACAGCGACAATCTCATAAGGGTTTTGATAAATAAATAAGCAGTAATTATTTCAAAAAATAATGAAGCTTATTATTACTTCACTTTCAATATACTTTTGTATTATAAATTTAGGAAATTGAGAATTGTTCTTGTAGCGTCATAATGTCATTCAGGAAATTTAATTTTATCCATTAAGAAAATGTGATATTTATTTTGAAATCTGGGAGAGGTTAAAATGATTTTTCAAGGTTTTTAATTCATTATTATCATGGGTCCATGTTCAGATTAGGTATATTGTGACACATTCATCCACGCCCACACAGATAATTATAATTGCGCGCCTAATATAGTTGTATTCTGAGAAGTTCAAGATTTATTTATCAGTTAAAATTAGATTGACATATGACATCCATTATTGATTTTATTAGTATTATAATTACAGGAAACGATAAGTACCACTGTCCTTATGATAAGCGATAAGAATGGCTGTCGAAATAAATAGAAGCTGTCATCACAAGAACCGATCATTAGCGTCATTACGTAAAAAAATATTACTTGCGTACCGGTTCATAATGGACTGAATGCATACAGAACCGATGATAGATTGATGAAATTTAAAAACACTTTATATTTCTGGAATTTTTCACGTAAAAGTACTGGTACAGGTCTTCTAAGCATGACAGAGCATAATCAGTAGTTATTATTTCAAATTATAAAAAAATTTAAACACAAGCAATGCAAAACGCGTCTAAAAGCAAAGCTCGCACGCTGATCTCTGAGTACTCTGAACTAAACGCTATGTGCTATAAATCCAGTCGTCAGAATCTAATTAGATTGAATATATCATTGAATGGTCGTTCTACTCTGTCCAAATGTGACGCTATATGTCTAGTTCATAAATTAAAAGCGTTATTTTTATAACCTGTGATAACACATTTTTACTTCCTTGTACGAAGTAAAAAGGAAGTATTGTAATCGCGAAAAGTTTCAGGCAGCATATTTCAACGAAAATATCCATTTTGACCGCTATCGAATGCAATTTAACGATGTTTTTGCGTGATATCTGTACGTAAGGACAGAATAAAATACTCTTTTCCTTCAAAAAAATTATAAAACTGCTTTAAAATTAATTCTGACGAGAATTTTTCGTGGCGTCTGTACGAACGTATGTACGTACGTACGTACGTGCGTGCGTGCGTACGTATTTCGCATAACTCAGAAACGAGTAGTCTCAGAACGTTGAAATTTTGTATATAGGACTGTTATAACATGTAGATGTGCACCTCGTATTTTGGTTGCAATCGGCCGCACCAAACGTATATAAATATATTTATATATATATCCACTCTATTACCCGGCTCAGTGATCTCAGTTTCTTTACTCTTATATTTTGGTAAATTGTACATTTTTTGCTTTAAAAATGATTGTATTATGTTGTTTTTATCTTCCGGTTAAGGTTTTTATGCCTTTAGTAAATCTGTGTGCAATATTTTTAGAATTATCAACAATTTTAAAGTTGTCTAAGTGTCGCTAAGCCTTTTTTTAATGGCTGCCATTGATATTTACATTTGAAACAGGAGACTAGTGGATTTGTTGCCAATCTAGAGAAACTTAGCTTCACAACAACAAAGATAATGCTTTCATTTACTATTGCCAATTAAATCATGCTTAATTCTTTCTGGAATTTTTTCGAGGGAATAAGTGTTTAAGATTTACTTCGTAATTTTTAATATAGATATTTTGAGTTTTTATGTATTTTTGCCTTCTCGCGAAGTGAGAACTGAATTAATTAAATGAGAAATACTCAATCGTCTGTGAAAAACTGTTTCTTTTTTGTTTTGTTTGCTTAATTTCTTTTATACATCATTCTAGCTTTATTATAGTTTTTGAATAGAACATATGGCAACGATTAGATAATTCTATTCTTAAATGATATAAATTTTGTGGCATTTTGAGTTATAATATGAACGAAATATATAAGTTAACTGTTATATAATTATTGGATTATATAACAGTTAACTTAGTTTCCGTTATATAATTATTATATAAGTTAACTGTTATATAATTATTACTACTGTTAAGTGAATCTAGCGCCAGAGTGTCGCTATGGTAAACAAATACTAAAATGAATTTTAAAGAAATTTATTCTATTGTGGTTTATGCGCTGTCGGCGAAGTAGATTTAATTCAATCCAATAAGTTTAAATGAAATGCAAGAAAAAATGCGTATAATTTAATATTCCAATTTAATATTCGTACACAAGGAAGTCATGTGGTGTACACATCAGATTTTTTTTATAAACAAATTCAAACAAAAAATAAATTTAATTAAGGGTTTATTTGTGTTTTTCTTGTATCACGTCGTTAAAAAAATTCAAATACAAACTTCCGTAGTTTTATTTTAGATAGATGCATTTTGAAAGTTCCAGTGTTTGGCAACACATAAACATTACAAAGGACTATGTTTCATGCCTGTAAGGGAATAAAATATTATTTACTAAACAAGTTGTTCGTTTTTACATAACATAAACTTTATTATCAATAACCACTTTCTAAATTTATCCTAGATTATATTTTATTATTTTATTTCAGGAATGAGTGAAAAGATTATTAGCAATTAACATTTAGAAATAAATAATTGGAATTCATACTTAATACTGATTTTAACTTAATAAAACACTAACAGATTTATTCAAAAATTAGGGTTTCCTTACATAAAATTAGATATACTGCAGTTAATTCACATAAATTGCTGTGATACCAATTAAACTATTACCTTTTAAGGAATTAATTGAAGATTATGCTAATATTAAATCCATTTAAAATAATTTTAAAACATTGTTAAAGAAGCAATTAATTTAAAATTAGTTTTTACAGAATCCTTTATTCTAAAAGAAAGGTAACGAGTAGATAATTATTTTTTCATAAATTAATTTAGACAATCATTTTTAAACTTTGCGTAGCTTTAAGTTTTAAATGCTGCAGTACGCCATAGAAGGACATTGATTTTCTTCCCCCCCCCACGAAGCACATATTTAAAAAAATCTCAGTTCGTTAAGTTTATGTTTTGCAAATTAATAAGTGCAAATATAACTCTGATTTTTGTTGTTTGACTTCTAAATTAATACGTGTTAGGCGTGTTATTTTATCTTAATTACTACTTCCATATTTGACAGCTACAAGGCTAAATTTCAACATTTTGTTAGAGGAGTGAAGATAAAGAAGGTTTGTTTAAACAAACTTCTTTTTTTCGTAGCATGTATTTTCGAAAGAAAATGGCTTTAGGATTTATATTCGTTGATCATTTATCATATTTCAGGGCGTTCGTTTTGGCAGGCATTTTTATAAGAAATTGAGCAGTTATAACTCAACGTAGCAAATGGACATATCTGTTCAACTGGAGCATGCATCAACATTTCCAGCTGCAGAGCAAGAATAACTTGTATTTCATCAGACATAAAATCTACAAAAGCTTTGATCATTGGAAAAGCGGGAGTATTCTGATATTGAAAGCAAGGTGTTACGAGATTTAGCATCTTTCGCGATTTCATATTTACATATATAAGGCAAAAATTTCATTCGTGGCCGTCGTTAAAACCGAACCCAAGTTCAAAGAGAGTTCTCTTAGTCTTCGAGGAGATGCGAATTTAAATTTCTAAACTTATTTTAATATTAGAAGAATTACTGGAGTACTGTCTGCGCATTGACTGTCTGATTTCATGCGAAAATGATGTTTATTCTTTCTTTAATAAATATACTTTAGTGTTTTTTCATGTATATGATATTCTATCTATTCATGCATATGATGTGCATTGCAAACCTGTTGTGCAGACGGGGGGTGGAAGTTTTTGCTAAGATGAGTTTTCCTTATCCAGAGTTAGTGTGACAAATGTGTAATGTATCAAAACTGTGTAAAGATAAAAATAAATACAAACCTGGAAAAAAATTATTAGAAAATTATGGATCTGTGAAAGATGAAGGAAAAAAGCCTATATTACACAACCAAAAACCTATTTAAACTTACATTTTTTGTAATTTTAAGTCCGTACAAAAGGGGGAGGACAAAAACATTGTTAATAGTTAAACATGAAATAACATTTTGATAATTTTGTGTATCCTTTTTACCTTATGTCTTCGCATTTATGATATGATATATGTGTATCTGTGATATAATTTAAATATAAACTACAAAAAATTCCGGCTTTTAAGAACTACAATTCGCTGATATGCAAAGCGAAAAGAAAATTTTATGAATATTTTAATTCTTTATGTAAATAAAAAAATACATCTGCTTCTCATAGCTGATGAACAAACCTGCACCGCTTAGTTAAATTTTAAAGTTGAAAAAAATAGAAAGCTGATAGGAGTTATCTGATGCCATAAAATCTTATTAGCAGCAGATTTCGTTTTTTGATAGAAAAAAATTGGCAGAATACCGATAGAAAGGAAAATTTGGAGAGGAAATCTGTAGCCGAACTGAGTAAAATGCGATAATAAAAATATTTATTGATTGTTCTAATTGCATTAATCTGCATTAAATGAATAATCACAAAATTTTAACATTCTATTTATAAATAATAAAAAAAACTGTATAGAGGCTACAATTCGAATAATAAATACACTCATGTCTATAAATTAAGGATAATGCAAAATCAGGCAAAGGAAGAGTTAGAAGCAAAACAAATTTGACTTATTTGTAAAGCTTATTTATTAAACAAAAGATAAAGAGCAAAAAAAAAAGATGCTACATGTTTGATATTATTAAAAAAATTAGCGATTTTTTCTCCCTGGAGTAAATTAAAAAAAAAAAAAAAAAAAAAAAAAAAACTATTTACAAAAAACCAGTATTACATGGTTGGTATGATTGTTAATACATTGTATGTCTCCCAGACGATGCAATACAATCCATACAACGCCTAGGCATGCTGAGTATCAAATTATCGATCTGATCATGGAAGATATTACTCCACTCAAAAAGCAATGCTCTCCGAAGTTTCGATAGACATGTAGGAGGAGGTTGACGGGCTGCAACTCGTCGGGCAAGCATGTCCCACACGTAATCTGTACAGGATTCAAAGTCAGGTGAGAATGCTGGCCAGTTCCATACGGGTGATATCCTCCGATTGAAGGCATTCGCTTACGATGTTTGCACGGTGAGGACGGGCGTTGTCATCCATAAACAAATTGTGGGCCCATGGCGCCCCGAAACAAACGTACATGTTGTTCCAGAATGACGTCCCGATAGATTTGGCTTGTCATGGTTCCAATTTGAACATGCAGGTCAGTTCTGGAACCCAGAATAATTCCACTCCAAACGAGCACTCCTGCCCACCATAATGGTGTCGTTCAATGATGTTTTTGGTGGTAACGGGGTACCTGGAGCTCTCCATATGAAAGTCTGGCAAGAATCAGACTGCAAGCTAAACCTGGACTCGTCTGAAAACATTCACAAGCCCACTGTTGCGGTGTCCACAATGCATGCTCTCTACTCCAGGCTAACCGCAGGCGACAGTGATTTGCAGTAAGTGGAACGCATCTGACAGGTCTAGGAGCATATAGACCAATCTGCCCTAAGCGTCTGTACACGGTCTGCCTTGAAATTGTCGTACCAGTGGCTGAAGAGAGCTGACGAGAGACAGGTCTGAGGCTGTGCTCCGCCTGTTTCTTTTGGCAGTAACTGCCAAATACCGGTCCTCATTCGGCATTGTAACTCTGGGGCGACCTGTGCTGTAAAGTCTACTCACATTACCATCATCTTGGAATCGTTGCCAAAGCCTGGAGATGACACTCTGGACAATTCCAAGTTCGTCTGATACTTCCAGTTGGGTACGCCCACATTCCAGACGGCCGATAATTCTACCACGTAAAAAATCATCCAAATGCATCCTTTGTGTCATAACTATTCGGTTATTGCACTGAAATGCTTATAAAGCGCCCGCGAACAATTTTACTTCTTTGGCTGTATTCCTTATATATCACTCTCTTACACTCTCGTCATTGTGACGTACCATCGGTGTCATCTGGTTACTTCCTGAAATTTGCATATGATTCTTGAAGATGTGTGTAGTGATTTTACAGGTGATATATTTATTTTAGAGTTCGATTTCCGCGTGACTCCGAATTATCCTTAATTTATGGACATGAGTGTAATATTCTATCAATAAGTTTGATAACTTTAAAAAGTATGAAAATATTACTAAGAAGTGCATTGTTTACAAATGGCTTATTTTTTTAGATAATTAGGTTTATATTATTGTAAATTCGAGTCCAAATAGATCACATGCCGCTTTTATTAACATCAAGCTAAAGCAATTCTTGAAACAATCATTATTCATGGAACACAGCAGAATTTTAAGCTTTAATTTTCAGACAACAACTTTTTCAAGTGTTAAATAGATTTACATTTTTTCACATAAGCTTAACTTTTTAACGGCAAAGGGAAAAAAAACGTACATTAGAATACTATACAAAATTCAGTAGTCTTACCTTGCTGTTTTTTATTCATATGCCTGGCATCTACCTATGACCTATAAAATAAAAATATATGATTTGTAAATTGTTCTTAAATTAGTGAAAAAGAAACAAAATGTGTGAAAATTTATGATATCAGTCATTGTTGCGTTGCTACTTAATTAAAGGGTCAACTATAATTTTAATAATTTCTTTTGAACACTCGTATTTCAATCATACGAATACTTATTTACACTGAAAGTTTTGAAGACCTTTCTTATGGCTTCGACAAACTTGAGGGCGTAAAATCATCTACTCTGAGTTACGGTTCTCCTGTACCATCAATACTAATATTGTTATTTGTGGAGTGTTTAAAAATATAATCTATAGTTAATATGGTGCATCAGCAAAATGGAATGAGTACCGAAATATATGGAAGGTTTAGGGAAAATTGACTTTTATTCACTGAAAATTGCTCAGTAAGTTTACAAATAACTTCCCTTCAAATGTGAATGTTAAAAAGAAAAGTATTTTGAAACATTTAACACAAGAATGATATGCAATGATAATCAGATGAGCACGGTATTTCAAATATGCCGCGTTGCATATCTTTACGGGAACAGTGAAAAACTCTTACCAAAAATCATAAAGGATACTCTTAACAGCTAGCATGTTAAAATAATCAGAGAACGTAGAAAACATTGCTTTGCATAGAATCGAATACACTTTATTAACATTATGAAAAATATAAACGAATTTGAAACTCTTATTTTATAGACTGTTCAAGCATTTTCACGAAGTAAGTCACTGATAATTTGAAAGATTAGTTTCCGAAGTTTTGAATAATTGCCAGCAGGGCGGTCTGTCACACTTTAGGTATTTCATAACCTTCTTAGTACCCAGCTACTCATTCATACTCGAAATGGTGACAGAAAAGACATTCAGACTTCGAGTTCGCGAAATTATAGTGGTGGTTTCAGAATAGTGGATACCTGTCAAAAGGAAAAAGTCCCGAACGACCGCGACGAAGAAAATAAAAGGTGGGTTGAATCCGGGAAGCGGTTTCAGCGGAGCTCATAGAAATACACAATTCAAACTAGCCGCGAACTTAATGATCTGTCATCTTTCTTGAATATTTGTAGGAAAAGAAATATAACGCTTCATTATCAACAGAACAATTTTTTCCAGCTTAGAAATTTGAATATCTTTCCCTTAATAAAACGTACTCCCATGAAATTGTTTTTCTTTCTAAATAACTTTGTAATTTTTAAAAAGTTATCTAAAATCTTCTTTCCAAAATCTTGCCTAAAATAAATATCCATAATATAGGTTCCTTTCATATAAATTCAAATTAGAAAGCAATAATTAATAAACAAATTTTTTATTGGTTTTAGCATAAAATAATTTTTTATGTTCAAATTAAAGCCAACAAAAATTTTGGATAAGAAAATCTCAGTCTGCAGATGAGAGACATAAATTTATATATGTATAAAGAAGAAAGTCTGTTTGTTTGTTCGCTAATAACTCAGTAACCACTATAGCTATTGTCACCAAACTTTCTACAATTCTTTTCTGAGTCCTGGAACAGGTCGACGTCAATGTTTTTTTAAAAAAAGTATAAGGAAATATTAATTTAAAACGCTCATTTTCGCCCTCAATTTCCCGAGTGGCAACAGTCTCGCACGCTGGAGATAAAAATCTGCTTTAGTTCAAGAATTGTTGCCGTTGCAGGCTTTCAGATCGTAGAGTTTGTTAATCAAAAATTTCGAAGTTTTACATTAAAATAGAAATATCATTGCCAAACATTTAAATACATTAATCTCAATTCCAAAAATTCGTGGGAAGCCATTTCGACTATTATCATTTTCGTACAACTTTAATTAGCCGAGATATTAAGTAAAATCTCTGAAAACACTCATTTTCGCATTCATTTTTCCAAGTGGCAACAGTCTCACATGTTGGAGATAAAAATGCTTTATTTCGAAAAGTGTTGCTACTGCTCGCTTTTAAATCATAGAGTTCGTTAATCAAAAATTTGTAAATTTTACAAAATTTATATATATGAAGAAGAAGGTCTGTTGGTGTGTTTGTTTATTTGTTCGAGTTATGGATTTGTGATCAATTATGATCAATTTTTTGCCACATTTAATCGACTAAATTTGAATGTAGGTGAAATATTGGATGGAACTTGAGCTTTTACAACCAACTGATTAGAAAGACGAAAATCATTGAAAACTGCGAGCTATTGTTTCTGATATAACGATAGAGAATTAGTTTATTTTTTTATCGAAATTTTTTATGTGAGTTCCATATTGCATTTATATGACTATGAATGTATAAAATGTATGACTATGAATCGTATTTTTTGCATCGTTATTAGAGAAGGATTACAGAAGGATTGGTTCGCTCTGCCGTCAGATACATTACTCTCAATCTAACTTAACAGGCATCGGGGACTTCCACTAAAAGTAAATAAATGAATAATAAAGCTGCAAATTACAGAATAGCATTCTCTCTTGTTTACTGCATATTTAATGACAGTTTAATATCAAATTCTTGCTTTTATTTGCGTCTTTCTTGAAACTTTCTTTTTAAAAGTTTCCGTCTGTCTTGAAACTCTTACCAGGGAGGTAGAGTTTTATTTCTTACCCCGCTACCACCGCGTACTATTAATGGATTAAAGAGACTAATCTTCTAACATTTCACTTTCTAACATTTTATGAAATAATATGTTTTAGATAATTTTTACATAACATTCCAAAGCATTAAAAGGAACGCAACCATTCGAGTGTAGTCAGATTTTCACTGGAACCTTATATATTCGGATTGTGTCAGCTCTACGCGAAGGAAGATCTGCTAGTGCTCCCACAACTTAATGTTATTAACTACCTGCGTTAATTGCAAGAAATTTCGATTTTTGTATGATTCTTATAAACGAAACGAATTCAACTTAATTTAACTTTCAGTTTAGAAATTAATTTAGGGCTCTATTTTAGTTCGTGTCCCTGAAAGTGTTCTGATATGAGAAAGAATTCGAACTAATATATGTTGAAGGTTAATATATATGAAGCTACAGTTTAAACTAAAAAGAAAAGGCAAGGGAAACAGAAAAAAGAAGTCCTCGCTTAAGAGATCATTATTTGGAGCAGGCGCTTGCAATGCATGCTTAATTCACATATGCAAAAAAGATTTAAAGTTTATTAACAGCGTCTCTCAGAACTTCCGTAACGTTCTACCAAATGAAAACTGTCTTCTTACTGTTTGGATGAATGAATATATAAAAATCTAATGTTAACTTTAAAAATTGTATTTAATTTAATAATGCATTAAATAAATACTTGAATCCGCATAGTTCTTGTCAAGAATTTTACTTACGTTACAAAATAATCCATCTTGGCATGGACAGTACTGTCTATAATCGTTGACCTTGTTTTTTCGTTCACAGAAGTCCCCTGCGTGAATATTAAGAATACATAACATTTTAATCGCATAATATTTGTTGATACGCAAAATGAATAAAATGTGGATAAAAAGAAATTTGAATGTGTTCTTTTGTCGAGAGGATGTTACAAAGAAAGCATGCGAAAACAGGAAAGTTGGCAACAATATCACTGCTAAACACCTGAAGCTGCTGATCAAAAAACAAGATTTATTTTGTTCTATAAATTTCTCCACAGGAATTGTTGGAAAACGAATTAATCCGTTTCTAGACCAAATGAATGTAAAATTAAATCTGTTCTTAGAGTACACTCTTTCATACGCTTATTTAAATTTACAGCAACTATTACGCACAAGTTTATAAAATTATGGTAATCATTAAATCTAAGACAATAAATAAATAAATAACGAAAAAAAGATTCGGAGAGCTTTCAGATTTTATATTATGCCCAAAGGGGCGTTTTTTTAACATTTTGTGTGTTACCTATGTTTATTAAATATCATGTTCTTCTCACTTAACTCAGTTCAACAGCAGCATCACAAAATAATTAAAAAAGAGCACATCTTTAGAATTTCCGGTTCAGGCTCGCGCGCTTGAAATATATATATATCTATATATATAATTTTTTTTTTTTTTTTTCCCGTTCAGTGTTGCCAAATTGCTTGCTTTGAAAACGTTGAGTTTGTTAAGCAAAAAAATTCACTAAAGTTTTACATAATATGAAACAGGTAATAAAACAAATTCCAAATTTCGACTTCCAGATGTCCATATTAGAGGGGGGCACTACATTATTTAAAATTTGATCTCTCTAGGTACCGTTGTTATTTTACAGTGTAAGAAACATACCTACATTAATGTGGATTTTTCATTGTTTAATTTTTTAAAATATAATGCAGGGCTTTTGTCGTTTGTTTTATTGGGTGGCAATAATTTGAAAAGTGAAACACCGTTTATAGTGAACCAACGCAAAATGCCGAAACGAAATTAATAGCCCATTGGGCTAACGCCTTTTGGGCTAAAAGATCAGTAAACAGATAATATACATAAATAAATAGAAATAAATAAACACTGTTTTAAATAGATAAAACAGACGAAAATCTAATTTTTCTATACCCGTAAGGAGAGAGGGTGGCATAAATGAAAAGTGACGTCATTGTTTGGATAAGAAGTCCATTTCATAAAATCATTAGGTAACTGATTTTCTAAGGCATATTCTTTTATATTTCCTTCGTTTCTTCTTAGCACTTATCTACTCTATTTAAAATTCATGGGCCTCCCTTTCTCTCAAAATTTATTCAATACGATTTATTGTTGCTTACATTTTAAAATGTTTCTAAACCTGCTTTACTGTAGCTTTTCTGCTATTTCATCAGGGTGGTATCAGTACATGAAATTTTGCTCTAATTTCACGTATTAAAAAGATAAGTTCATCTTCTCTCCATTCCTCTTCCTCTGAAGACACTTTCTCCACAATGCTTTTTGCCAATACTTTTGAATTTGTTGCAGTTCTTGCTCAATAAGCTGATTTTTATGATTCTTTAGTAACGCTTCATGTTTCACTGTTAAGTCAATGCCTCCATGTTTCACTGTTAAGCCAACATCTAGGCAAATGGCTTTGCCTACTAATACTTATGACACAAAGCGCAACATTCCTCAGTCTCAAAGACTCTGCTTACAACACAGTTAGGCCATATTTCCTTCAGGTTGAATTCAAGGTCCCATACATCATTTACAGCCAGGTTTTATAAATAAGAGCTAGTTAAGCAAAAAAAAAAAAAAGTATTAAAACAATGCTACTAGTAGTTCCTAAATGTTACATTCTGCATCAGAGATTGCTTCAAAACATCTTTGAAAACCATTTGTTTCTGACCTGCATGTTCGTAATTCGAGACACTTTTCATCATCCAAGACGATTGGTTAAGGTAATTTGTTCGTGATAAAAAGAGTTTGTGATTCGAGGTTCCATTTTTTGCATAAATTAAGCTGAAAATTTCTTTTACACGAGGAGTAAATGGTAAAAATTATTAGAATAACAAAAATTTCCAAGGTGTAAAATACATAGAAAAACTGTGTTTGATTGAGATGCATCTCATTCGAGTTGCAGCAACGTAGATCATTTGATCTGAATGAGACTAATATATGTTAGGACAGTGGCCTTTAAATTGTGTTCTGTGGAATCGTAAAATATGGAGCAACTTTTGTATAAGTTATGATAATTAAAATTAGAATTCGAAACAATTTTTGAATACCACATGTGCTGAAAAACTAAGCATTTAAAACTTTGAAGTCCTTTTAAATGAACATAAGCATGTTTATCTCCAAAATTATACGATGAATTGTGGTTCTAATTTATGACTTATTTAGGAGATGTCTTTGCCATTTTAAATGAAATTAATGCATTTCTTCAGAAGCACACTTAATGCATAGTTTTTAATATTAAATATTTAACCATACGTCAAAAAATACGTACAATGTTTTTAAAGCTGAAAATTTTCAAATAGAAAAAGATCTAAATTTTGGTGATAGCGTTAAAAATATATATTAAAATATATTTTTCAGTGTAATAAGAATAGAGAATATTTCTCAGAGAAAACAGTCGAGAATGACTGGATCAAAGGTCTATTTCAGAATTATCAAACCAGACTTCTTATCGATGAAGGAAAGAGAGCTTTTAGTTGATATTTTAATTGACTTAACGTTAAATACCACCAAGAACTCTTGAATGTTTGGTTACAGATTCATGGACAATGTCAACAAATTTCTAAAAAAGACCATAAAAACTTTGGTGGCCTTTGGTACAGCTTATTAAAGCAGAAATTAATTTTTCAACTTGGGTAGCAACAAAGCAAAACAAGTTGAATGCAGGTATTATTAATGGAGCCAGACTTTATTGTGTAGATATTTTGTGTAACAAATGCAATCACATTTCAGTTATTAAACTTATATAATATACAAGTGATGAGTAAATTAGTAACTCAACGTATGAGAATTGTGTACTAATTATCCAATAAAGAATTATAATGAAGTATATATTTATTTATTTTCTTTAGCATTAGATGTGCTATTAGTCTCTATTTTTACTTTTTTGCCCGTATTACTTTTCAAATAAAAGGATGTTGCCCCAAATGTTATCATAATATATTAGTAGCTTGAACTAATTACTGATTTGTTGGGTACACCAATGCCAGGAGATATAAAAACTGCTTGTGATGAAGCAAGATCTCACATATTGCGACGACCTCATAAGATTCCGTCTTGGCAGCATTTTCACTTATCTCTCAAGCAACACATATGTTCATCTTTTATGTCAGATGTTGGTTTTTAATCCTGTAAGATTTTTATTTTAACTTATTAAATTGATTCTTAGAAAACTGATGTAATTAGATTTGGTTATTAAGAACACTGGAGATTCTGTAGGTTTCTTTATTGTGACTGATAATTGTGTATGTTTGAAAGTATTTGTAAGTAAAACTATTGCATAAATTAAGATAATCACCAGAATTTCTAATATGAGTGGCAAACACAATATTTTATGTGTTGAGTAAATCTCTAAAGATTATTTAGAAGAAAAGAATTATATAAAGATGATTTAAAATAAACAGAGTACCTAGGTTTTTCATCAATCATATAAGAAATAATTTGAATGTAAAAAAAAAGCGAAATAAATTTATCTTTAATGCATTCTAAATATAAAAACCACACATATACTTAAAAAAGCTCCTCCCCCAAAAATTATAAAAATTGAATGTCTGATGTAATAAATGTATAACACTACAATCAAAGTAGCTAAACCTAAAAAGGTATAGGAAGATAAAAAGGTTTCTAATTTGCCATATGAAAATTATTTATCTAGAAAAAATATTGCAAATTATATGTGGTGTGTAATTTTTAATTTCTTTGATGTACTTGTTTAGGATAAACGAATTTCATGTACTGATGCATTAACTTATCCATATGTGGATGAAGGAAGATTACGTTATCATTCCTGTATGTGCCGTTGCTGCCAGATTACACCTGGAGGTCGCTAATATGTTTCCGATTTTAAACCAGTCTCTCTCCTCACATCTTTGATGACTGTTGTGAAAAGGATTAACATCTGTTCACCAAGTAAAAGGTAAATTTATACTTGTAGGACATTGAGTTCAATATTATGCCTGTCATATCTATCAAGATTTGGGAACCTGTTCATTTCAAGAATGTAAAAGATGAAATCAGCTTCTTGGCCATATCAGCTTCATATTCTAATATGCTGCATGTTCCTTATTAAGGTTTACCCAACCGTCTTCACACACAGCTGCCATGATATGATAATAAGGCATAAAATAAGAGGAATAATTTAATTAATGTTTCTAAACAAGGTTCTGCAATTTTTTTTCCTATCATTTCCTGCAGAAAACTTGCAAATATCACTTAGAATATGTGCAGTTGAAAACCAATTCCGTGGTACTTAGACTAGTACCTTTTCATGTTTTCCTCCCCCCCAAAAAAAATACAGTACCTTTCAACATTAAGGTACATTTTATGTTTGTGCTAGTAGTAGATGTGTCTTTTACATCATGTGGCCTTTTAGTCAATATTCTAATGGATTATTTCTTTAAAATAATATGTTTTTAATTGTATAATTCTTAAAATATATAAATATTATTCTAAAGAAATAATAAACACTATTTAAAATATCTGTAAACCAATAAAAGATGTGACAACAAATGTGGAGAAAAGGAAGTCTAATAATAAAATTAAAATAAAAAATATTTGAGCAGGAGTAAGTCCAAGAGCAGACTGGTTAATGCGAGTTCAACAAGAGCATAAAAAACTTAACAAAACTCTCCTGGAGCGACATTAAAATCTGAACCTTCAGGTTTTTTTTTTTTTTTTTTTATGATTATATCATAGTTTCAATGTTTTTTAAAATACAGTTTTGAGTGAGGATTAATAAAGGTGTTTCAGTTTATAGAGTCCCAAGTCGACAATATCACTGAATTTGATTATCTTAAATAACAATTTTCAAATTTGAAAAACCAATGTTCTTCAGTAAAGCGTTTATTCTAGACCATTATATCATCATTTTAACTAAGTGTAATTTATTTTCATGCAAAAACGCAGTTGTTCTAACAAATACAAATTATACGTTTTACTAAACGATAGGCCGAAAAACATTAACAAATGTACGTTATTGTTGATAATATATAAATATTATTTCTAAAGAAATAATGTAACAAATATTTAAAATATACATGTTAACACAAATAAAAGGATGTTGACAACAAATGTGGAGAAAAAGGAATGTCTAATAATAAAATTAAAAATATAAAAATATTTGAGCAGGAGTAAGTCCAAGAGCAGACTGGTTAACTGCGAGTTCAACAAGAGCATAAAAAAACTTAACAAACTCTCTGGAGCGACATTAAAATCTGAAACCTTCAGGTTTTCTTTTTTTTTTTATTATTTATTATTATCATAGTTTCAATGTTTTTTTAAAATACAGTTTTTGAGGATGATGCGGATTTTAATAAATGTGTTTCAGTTTTATAGAGTTCCCTAAGTCGACAATATCACTGAAATTTGATTATCTTAAGATAATCAATTTTCAAATTTGAAAAAACAAATGTCTCTTCCAAGTAAAGCGTTTATTCTAGACCATTATATCATTCATTTTAACTAAGTGTAAATTTATTTTCATGCAAAACGCAGTTTGTTCTAACAAATACTAAATTATACGTTTTCACTAAACGAATAGGCCGAAAAACATTAACAAATGTACGTTATTGTTGATTTTCCGCTGATGTTTGTAGAAACATTTGGATTTTTTTTCGGAAGCAGGCAAGATGAAAAATATGCAGTGCCTTCGCCGGGAGTAGAACCGCAGACGTCTCAATTACGCGCTGAGCGTGCAGACCACCACACCACGAAGGCACCGCTAAGAAGGCGGGAGAAATACCTTACATGTTTTTGAAGTCTTTAATTGGAAGAGCAATTTTTGTTTCATTTAGTTACCGTAATTCGGATATAATACACTACAATATGTGTTATTCGTCTAAGCTCAAAGATTAAGGAATGAAAGAAGTGTATCTGAAATTACTATACGTATAAGATGTATAATTAAATATAGGAAGAAAGGATTGAAAAACGAAAGTTTTAGATTCAAGAGCTAAATTACCGAATACTAAAACAGAGCGATGAGAAATTTTTAAAGAATTTCTCTCAGCTCTTATTTCCAGAAACTTTCTCTGGAACGTTCCAGCATCTATTCAAGCAAAACAAATCTAACAGCTTGTTCTGACAATTGATGTTCACATAATCGAAGTCAGTTTCGGTAAATGGAATATTTTCTTTTCAGTCTGCATTTTTCTAATATTGATTTTTTGATTTTGAATGTTATTTTCAAAATTTTTCTATATCATCTTGTCATTGCTAACAAAGTGTTAAGTAACGCAAGCTTTCGATATATTTATTATTATTTTTATGCCTGCAGTTTACTGGGAATATGGTATTGTCCTATGGAACATGATAAAGAAATACTCACCATTTCCTGCCAGCCGTTTGCAGCCTCCCATATAGCCTGTTCCATAGCAACACTCATCATCGCGGCATTCATGTTGGCATATCATCAGAACGGGACTTGAACATACCTGCGAAAATGTACATCAGAATAAAATTGAACAAAAGGAAACACGGTTGAAACATGGCCACCCTGTTCAATATAGTAGTTAATTGTGCCGGATACCATATCGTTGGGCTCCGGTCCAAAATACGCAGAAAGCATGTATGTTTGTCAATGCAAAGTATCTTTGCGAGATAGGAGCATTTAAAATGCGTACAGCTGAAAATCTTTCGTATGAGTTGGTATTAAGGGAAGAGAAGTATGAAATTCGTAGATCTGTGTCCTGGGATGCCCGCCATCAAAACTGAGACAGAGTTGGGCAAACTTATCTGTCATTTATAAGGTGGCTTATAAACTTATCTGTCATTTATAAGGCTTTAGTCAGCGACTGGTGCAAATCTTTGCCTCTTGATCACGATAAATTCGATAGAGGGATTAGTCACAACACCTTTAATTTATCAACCAGTTTCTCTCATTTAGGTACAATTATCCCCGTTCTGGTTTTAAAATATACAACCCAGAGTGCTATGTAGAGTTAGGAAGACAGTCTTTACTTATAGTTATAACCTTACCATTACGCATGGAGGTAAGGATAGTTTGCTTTACTGCCTGTATATACAAGACAGAAAGAAATCACTAATAACTGAGTTTATCAGCGTACAGCTTTAGTCACTCCATCACGTAATGTGATGAGAACGTATATGTAAAAGTAACATGTCTTGATAAACTGCATGTGGAATAATGACATAAAAAGCCGGTTGTTAACACTCCAAAAGGCACAATCACTGACTCTTCACACCTGAAGCAGAATTTAAAAAATAGGAAATACGACTGTTCGCAGAAAATGAGTTTGCTACAAATCAATGTATAATATTTTGCTAGTAAAATAGAGTTAAATATTATATAGCTGCCATTTATTATGTACTTTTCATGGTAGTTAAAATAACAAAAATAATGTAATCTACGCTTTATCAACCTTTGTTATAACTAAATAATAATCCTATGGCAAAATAGTATGCTTATATTTTTGCATTTCAACTCACCAAGAAAGTCAGGAGAAGGAATACAAAGAAACACTGCATTTTTACCGTCTTCTTTTCCTTTCACTAAAGTAAGCAAAATAAATTTATCTTTCTTGGTCTAAGATTTTAAATATATTGCTGAAGAAAGCAGCTGATATCACTTTTCAGGAATTAAAACACCTGTTAGTTTGAATATAACAAATGTGTGGAAATAAGATAAAGCTTAAGATAAAGTAAAGCTTTAACCGATTTAATTATATGCGCTCTTTGTATAAGCCAAATGCTGCAAAATTTACCTAAGGAATTGAAATTAAAACGATGTGATATCATTTCAATCAAAAAAAATTAACAGAATTAGCGGAAGAGATAACAGATGTGTGAAAGTATTTAGTCTACTTCATTGTATCAGGCCTTGACAAACATTTTAGCCGAAGAGTCGTATTAAGGATTAAAAATATCTGCGGCCAGCAAATATGATAGTATTTTTAGGTAAAGTGAACTATAACATAAAAATAGGTGCATGGAATAAAAATTAAATATGTTTTGTTCATAAATGAACAGCAGACTTTTCACTTTGAAAGATAAATTAAAGATCTTATACTTTGTCGAAATGCAAAACTTGGAGAATCCACTCTATGTAAAGGTGAGTGAACAATAAATTAAAATTTTTAATGTTTCTTACACTAATAACATTGGCCTAGGTTGGTTCTGAAGTTTTTCCACTCTATTCATCAGTGAATTCGAAAGCAAAAACTTGTCTATAGATTTTATTTTGCCAGGACGCGATTTTTATGTTGAGTGAAAACAATATAGATTTTTCAAAGTATAAATAAGTAATCTACACATATTTGATTATTAGTCAGTAATTTAAATTTTGGAAATATTTATACATGCAGAGAATACCAGTTCTTCCCTTTTTACACAAATATAACATATTATTTTCACATGCTTCTTATTGTTGCGTGTGTGCGAGTTCGTAATAGATTGAATGCACAAGTCCGATAATAGGCTAATAAACTTATTGTATCAAAAGAAAACACTCATTACAGTAGATTTTCCCCAAAATTCCGTACAGTGTGCACAGTATCGCCCGTAAAATAGTAGTTAAATTTCAACTATAAGAACGTTAACACAAAGCAAGCAATCGCCTTCGGGAAAACTAACTGGTATCTCAATCCCGGCGGGAAATAACAACTCGCAACAACAATAACTAAGCAACTGAGAGCAGACCAAGGATTATGTATTACGGAATACCTATGGTTCAAACCCTTTACCACCACATCAGAATATACTAGATAGAGAGCAGAACTATGAAAATTACATAAAAGTAGTTAAAGAGCAAAAAAGCTAGAGGGAGCCACATGGCTCGAGAAAGATTAGGTGTAGGAAAAATCATTGAAATCATAAGTTTTGATTTTTTTTACAGGTTTTAATTTTTTTTTTAATTTTATAATTTTTTATACACAGTACAACACTAAAGCAAAATGCGGATAGAAAATCCATTAATGATTAAAAGGCTCCTTGGTTAATGGCGCTAAATCATAGTGCAATAAAATATTGGGAACGCGCAGAAATATCCAAAGCAGAAATAAAATCTGCAAGCAAGATATGATTTTTAAGCGAACAGATTGATAACAATGCAGATGAGGCCTCTATTTATGATGATCAGTAGTAGTTGAGATAAGCAGGCAATTTTATGGCAGAGTGGCATGTGAATCTACGCTGATAATTTTATGTAATTTTAAAGTCTTTTAGGGTTTGGTTACGAGGTATGCCTATTCATGCTCGTTTTGCTCTTTTATTATTTTCGGTATAAAACCGGTTGTGGCTGCTCCCATTAAAAAAAAAAAAAAAAAAAAAAAAAAAAAAGTTTCTCAAAATCAGGAAGCTTTGTCTGATTGCTCTCAAAATCAATAGAGTTTTATTTAAAATCGAGGCCAAAATAAGGCTGCTTTCTCTCCCTCCCTAATTTTAATATTTAAATGTTGTGAAAATGCATGAAAATCTTTCTCACTCCTTAGCATCTCCTACTGCCCCAGGGACAGTAATGTTCTTCATATTCTTTCAGAGCCCACTGGTGAATGGTAGAGCTCACTCTGGGAGGCTATACAAGACGCACGGCTTCACCAAGAGGTTAGCAGGTATCCTGTAGTCTTTCTGATATTAGAAAAGCAACATCCACACAGGGCTTCTAAAAGGTGCTTTTTTCATAAACGTATTCAGCCCCTTTTAGCGTCTTTGGTTTTTGTTGAGCCAGTTCATAGACCATAAGTATTCTTTAGTTAGAGTTATTTATAGAGAAAACACTATAAGTGGCAACTAGGAGGAGCTTTATATCTGCTTATGAAGAACACACGATTACTAGATTTACTAGATTTGTTAATTATTTAATTTATTCTTTGTGTTTGTACCAGTCTTTAAGATCGTATTTAGACCTGTAGCGATCTCGAAAAGCTAATAAAAAATTCTCGCATTACAAAGCAGTTCGAATGTCAGAATTTTCGCACGGAAGCTCTTTTGCAACAGCTGTATGATTATTCGACTGCCACATAACAGATCCGGGATCGAATTCCAAGATCATTATCATCTTCAAGGGCATGCGAAATACCTGCGCTGATGCACTTCTCTTTGGTGGTAATAGATGGCGACACGAGCAAGCACCACCGATCATTGTGCGATTGCGACCATTAAATAAATTGCAACAGTAAAAACAGTAAAATTGCAACATTAAAATTTATTAAGTAACAAGGTAATACATATATAGTGGCAGGCAATAGCACGATTGATTGAAACAAAGGATTGGCAAGTCATGAGTTCATTAAATATTTGCAAGGCATAAGAAAGGAACTTTATTATTAAACAAACACACACACACACACACAAAAACAACAACACACACAAAAAAAAAAAAAAAATTGAATACCATAACAGAGGAACATTTTCGATATTTTATTTTGTATTTTTATGAAATGTTCTATGCATAGACATAAGAAAGCACGGTACTCTAAAATAGTAAACACGTGATATGTGAAAAACACTGTTAAAAAGAAAAATGATATATAAACACGACAACATATTCCAACACTATTTTAGCAAAATTTTAAAAGGATTCCGAATCCCATAATAAATAAAAAAGATTACAAAAATTTTATCTAAACTAAAAACGTCGTTGATAATAAAAATTAAATGAATGCTTACAGTAAACAGTGCCTTGCATCTGTAATGAATCATTTTCTAATGCAATAATATTAACTAGATCATATTAAAAAGGAACCACTGAATAAAACTAAGTACTAAAGTTACTAAGTTAAACTAAGTACATCTGAGACATTTTAATAATAAAAATTAATTGAAATGAATCCCAGACGTGTCTGTGAAAGAACTTTAGGGATTCGATGCATATAATTTGGTGGTTAATTGTTTGGTTCGTCTTCGTAGAATTATATTTCCTCTTTACAGGAAAGTAAAGTATTCATTTATATAAGAAATGGTTGCCATAGCTATGCTTATACAAATACAAATTTACTTAGCATTATTTTTAATTAAAATTTATAAATACTAGATACAATTAAAAATATTCCAATATCGCTAAGGACTTCGGCCACTTATTCTGTTTATGTTTTTCAACTGCTATATCGTTAACAAATTTCACAGAACGCATAACAGGAAACAAAACTGCCTTAAAAGAGTAATATTTTTTATCATTCTATTGCAAAAGGCCTTTTCTGCAGTAGCAAAGACGTGCATCGGTGTCCATGAATATCCACAGAAAATATGAAAAAAAAGTTGTAATAAAAACGATTTCACTTGATAATATGTGTCATCTGCAAAACTGAGAAATGTCGACTTCAGTTCTAAAAAGTGTTCTTGGTGAAATTCAGACTTTTTTACAATATTTCAAATGTATTTAATTATTTTCAGAAATAAAATATTAAATAAATACGGTGTCTGACATCTTTTTAAACTTTTTTCTGCCTTTACTTGTCCTCGAAAAAGATATGCACTGTAAAGTTTGGTTACAGTAAAAACATTTTTATAAACTACGATGACAACTGAACAAATGCCAAATGTTGCAGGTGTGTTAATAATTGACAGCATAGATCGAATGAAATGTCTGATACCAGAATTTATGTCCTAGATATACTATATGCCTATATCACTCGCTAGAAGAATATTCAGTTAAGGTAAATTTTCCCAGTCTTTTTGGGATCATTCTCCTTTGTACAAGTTTCCTTCCCTCAGTGCCCCCTTCAGGTTTATTCAACATTCCCTAGCCTTGCAGCAATGATATTTTAGAACGTCCGTTAAATATAATATAGAGGTACTGATGTTTAAGATTGCAAGTTAGAATTTTTAGGTATTTATTGCGCTTGCGCTGCATCAAATTAGCAATTAAATCTTGTAGAGATATTAGGTATTTTGGAAGCAGGAAAGGTGAAAAATTAGCAACGATTTCGCCAAGAATCGAACCGCGGACCTCTGGAATACGCGGCCCAGCGTGCAGACCACCACACCACGAAGGCGGGACTCCCCCTTTTAAAGGATGTCTGGGGTTTTTAGGGAACCCA